AGCAGGGAAGAGCCAAAAGAGCCTCCTTAATCTGGAAGCGAAGCTTCCTATTTATAGAAGGGGAGGGAAATCCTTTTATGCTAATGGGCCGAAAAGGCCTTAGTGTGCCAAAGCAGGCCCAAGTAGGCCAAGTAGGCCTAAATGGCTCCCAATGGGCCCAAGGGCCTAAATGAGCCTCGCAGATCGGGCCTCGTACCGGGGCGGTGTCTTGGGCATCCGAACAGTAGTAGGCCGGGGTAATATACCCCAACAGTAATGTACTTGAACCGAATTTGATTACCAGACTTATTAGGCAAATTATACCGTACACCCGGATGTACGGTTCTCACTGTACATCCAGGTATTTTTGTAATTGTTTCTGATTTGCATGGCTATAGTTCGTTCGTTCGTCCTTATCCTTTCTTTAATTCTTCCCCTACGAGCTTGAGTCCACTACCTATGCTCTTTTCCGTTTATGACTCTTTTTGTATGTTCTCTTCCATCTTTGACTTATTTTTTGCTTTTTACTTAGCTTTTTGTTTTGTACTGGTAATTGTTTGTGATTTACGTTACTCTTTTCCATGGATTTTAATTATGATGTATATTTAAGGTATTAATTAATGTTTTCTTTTTTATTTCTAGTTTAAGAGGAATATTTATTAGTTTATTAAATATTTAAGGTGTTAATGTTTGATTTTTTAGTTTTAGTTTAAGATGAGTATTTATTACTACTCCCGTCCTGCTATGATTGTCCCATTTTACCTTATCGGTCCGTCCCATTAAGATTGTTTCATACCAAATTTGGTAAAGTTTATGTGGCTTTAAATCATTTTTACTTTATTCTTAGTTTATCAATTCAATATCAATCACATAAACCATTTTTTATTGATTTGTGTGTCACTCCCTTTCGTCTCATTGTTAGTTATAAATGCTCAATTTATACTCATTTGTGCTCATTTTTAAAATGCCATATCAATGCATATTTCAAAAGAATATGATTAATTATATTTTTTAGTTATGTGTATTGATTCGGTACCGGTGTTATGTTCATTTTGAAATTTTATATCAATACAGACGAAACTCACGCAATCAGATTGGAGCTTGCTCACATAACCGGATCATATAAATCTTGAAAAAAAATGTATTTTCTGTGAATTCATGTTAAGATGAATATAAGAGATTAGTGTATATCAATAAATGTATTATATGAATCAATATTTGTTAAGGGAAAAGGGTCATATAGGCCCTCGAACTTACATAAAAAGGTCAAATAAGCCCTTAGCTTATATAGGAGGCTATGTCCGGCCGTCGTCATTTGGGACTGTTCCCGGTGGAATTTTTTTATGAAATTTTTTAAGCATCTTGTTCATTAAGTCTAGTTTACTCATACCAAATTTCAGCTAAAATTTTAATCGGGAAGACATTAAGTAAATTAACTTCAACCTAGAAATTCAAATGAATTTCTAAAGAATATTATAATAAAGGCTTTAATCAATCACCTCACTAAATAAATTAGGTGACGTTAGATAGAAACATAGGCACTACTAAATTATACATGATTCTATATAAAAACATCCTCAAGGAGACTAATTCATCCAAACAACCTTTTCGAGGAATAAGTTATCTTCAATTTTAAATCCATCTACTTTTTAGAATAGAGTCAATTAGTACTTCAAATACAACAATTACATGTAAATGTTTCAAAAATATTTCTTTAAACTGTAGTGGGCGAGATAGGTTACTTAAAAAAATGGAAGATGAAAATCTCATTGGCTAGTATAAGCCTTTTCCTTTAGAAGAATATAAAATAGTACATCATGGCATCATATTCAACTTCACAAAACTAACAGTTCTAAAGAAGAGCAAAATTGTCACTTCTCAATACCCGCGCGTGGAAGATAATCTTTAGTAACCAAAATAGCTTCAACCCAATACATGTTTTTGATAATAATGATAAGGTAAATCCTATGCGAATAATCCAGTGTGGTATAAAGAAAGTGGAATAAAGTGGAAATGTGTGGTTGTGGTTGTGTGAGAAAAAGGTAAAATGAATGTGAGCCACACAAATTGTCCAAAAAGGGTAAGTGGGAAGAATTTTTGGGAACGACCCAAAAAGAAAAGTGAGAAGTATTTTTGGGAACGGAGGGAGTATAATGTAAATCCTATGTGAGCTAGTATTCCACTGTGTTTCAAAATAGATACACTATGCTATATATATGTGTGTGTGTGTTCATATATTACATGATTTTTTAAAGAAATATAATACTACTTACATGATTATATACTATTATTTCATATTTCCTCCATTTTTAATTAAATAGGCTTGAGAAATGAACTTTTATCCAAAAACAAAGTTCTATAGCACAACTCTTTTGTACTCCATGCCGTGGGGTGCGGTTTTATTCAATTTAAATACAAAATATTAAGCCACACTACTGATTTGCGCTTGCAAGCATTAGTATTTGATAATACAATCAAAATGATATGAACCAATTTGCTTTTGAATAAACACAGAACAAACAAATAAATGAACAAAACTAAAGATTGCCAGGAAAAAGTAGAAACTAAGATTAATATGATCTTAAATAGAACAAAACTGCCACTCATTTCATGGAGTAGAAACAAAGTTTGGTAGATAATGCTCAAAAAAGTATTACTGGTTCATTGCTATAGGCCTATAGCCCAGATAAAAATCAGATACTTACGGCATACCTTAATGATTGGGATGAAATATATATACTTGCAGATACTTACAGCAGAAAAGGCTATCGCACTGGTTCTATATGGGGGTAAACTTATTCATAGATATCCAAAATTATAGATTTTAAAATAGATATCCAAAATTATAGACCTTAAAATAGATATCCAAAGCATCATCAAGTGAAGATTTATAGGGCATAAGGGCAATCGATCGAGTTCCATTATGACAATATCTACTTATGCATCAGTTGCACTTCAATTATGATTAGTCAGAAGTTCATGCAAGAACCTAATAGATACTTTACCAAGTTTTTATGCTTCAATTATGATTAGAAGTTCATGCAAGAACCTAATAGATACTTTACCAAGTTGTTATGCTGTTCTGTTCAACAAAAATTTATTCATTTAGAAGTGAGACGAAATGCCTTATTTGAACACACCCATGAAGATGTAAATTTAAGATACTAATTTCATTCTGGTAGTTTGTGATGAAGGTATGTATATTAGAGAAATTTCATTGCAATTCTAGTATAAAACTTAAAAAACAAACTATGAAACAAACCACCATTCATAAATAATTTGGACAAAACCTTCTTATTTTTATTTTTGAACACTATATGTATAGTTGTTTAGGAAAGAGTTATTTTTTAATTGATTAAAATCTAGGATAAGTTAAATTAGGATTTGTTTTTTAAAACAACCCACCATTCATAAATAATTTGGACAACACCTTTCACACTATATGTATAGTCGTTTAGGAAAGAGGTAGTTATTTTTTAATTGATTAAAATCTAGGATAAGTTTAATTAGGAAAAGATTTTTAAAAGAAATAATTATATAAATATGACCAAAATAAAGATGGTTTACAAAAATATGACTAGTTACTAGAGTAGTAATGAAATCATAGTAATTCATGTTCAAGTTTTGAACTAAAGTTACCACAACACTACGTTGTAGTAATGAATAGTCATACTTATGTAAATAAATTTTATTTTAGTAATATTCTTATAAAAAACTCTTTTTAAAATATACCCAATTTTCAAATAGAGGAGATGTCTGAGGTATTCTAACTCATCTAGCATAGATAATATTTTGTTCCTACATTTTACTTTTATTTTTTCAAGATTCAAAGATTTAATAGTTTGGTGTGTTAGCTATTATTCTAAATTTTGAAAAACAATATTACCATTTGTCCTAATGCATCTTTTGTTTTTTTTCTTTTTGATGAATTATGTGTCCCTGAGGTATAGGAAATAGAAAAATAGTCTAAAATCTCATTTAGTGGTTTACTCATATCTACAAGTACCTAGTATGCCCCTAGGCCTTTGAACATACAGGGCCTTTCATGCACAATTTTAAGTGATTAAGCAGAATCAACTCGGCCCCATGATGCCAATCTCTCCGCTCATGCACAGTTTTAAATTGATTTTTTGAGGATAAGTAGCAGTATTAAAATTAATAACAAATGAAATTTATACACACATGCACACACATAAAATGTAAAAGTGAAAGATGTGAATGAACAAACATATATATATAATCGACTTAATCGCGAAAAAAACGAAGCACACTAACATACCTCTTAGCGAGTGTGTTGTGTGAATTGTAGTGGAAAATATCTCACACCAAAGGCAAACCTTTGTTGTCAATCTAATATGAAAAAATTACACTCATTGTATGTGCTATCCATACCACGTAAACCAGTCACTTATCCATGTGCAATGTTGAAATTGTGCTTAATTACACCTATTTGGATTTCATTTCTAGCTGTTGTTGAAGTATTTTTGATAAATGATAATAGGCTTCTCTTTCTATCGAGTGAACTTTTATGATGGATCCCAAGCATGCTTTAATTTGGAATTAGAGCAAGGTATGATTGAAGTTTAGTTATTTGTTTGGAATTATTTGGAATTACTTGTGTGGCATTCATTATCAAGGGGGGATTCAAGGATCTCATTTGGTAGGTCTGTTTGGCATATCTACCGTCCTCAGTTGTCTTTATCTCATTTCATTTCATTGCCTTCTCTAAGCCGTGGTAATGTAATACGGAGTAACTTATTGATGCATATCCTTTGCTTGTATTTACTTTTTCTTAAATGTTGTTTCTTCGAATGAGTTTGCTTCCACTCTTTTTATTTGTTAGTAGTATATACTGCGCATATTGAAACACGAATAAACATTTTTATTTACTTTTAATGTTATCATTTCACTGTATGAATCAAGCATATACTCCCTCGATCCCTCCGTCGCATAAAATATTTCTCGCAATGACTTTGATCGGAGTTTAGGAAATTGAGAATAAAGCGAGATTGAATGGTTGTGGTTGAGTAAGAAAAATGTAAATGAATGTGAGTCACACAAAACTTTCCAAAAAAGGAAATGAGGACTATTTTTTGGGACGACCCCAAAAGGAAATGGGGAACTATTCTTCTTGGTATGAAGATCAACACTCTAATGAAAATCATCTCTCATTCATGATGATCACTGAAACTAGCCACACCACTCATTTTGCCAATTCAATCTACTTGGGCGTAATGAATATGTTGATGGCATCACCAATATCCCATACCAATTCACCAATATTTCCAAAACACAGATCAATTCCCACAACACCACTAAGTCACTAACATATACGTACGACTGATTTGAATATAAAACTGATTTGAATTATTGAAAGTTTAATTTATTGGTCTGGGCAAACTAATCTTTTGATGTTTATTGATGGTTTACTACTTCCTCGGCAAATGACTTGAGATTCATGTGAGAAGAACCGCCTTCCTTGCTTGCTTCCTTAGCTAAATATTGCCATTTTTTGGCATTCTTTCTCAACTCGTCACTTTTCTCCCCACCATCCATCACAATCTCGATGCACCTCTTAAATTCATCACTCCCAACAACCTCAACGCCGGCCTCGTCCTTCACCCCCGCTGCCACGCGAACTCCCGTCTTCCACACGTCTTGAATAAGCTTGGCGTTAGTCCCCTGGTCAGTCCAGTGGGGGAACGCCACCACGGGCACTCCGGAGCATATGCTTTCGAGCGTCGAGTTCCATCCGCAATGGGTGATAAAGCAACCGAGAGACGGGTGGTTCAGCACCTCCGTTTGAGAGCACCACCCCACTATTTTTCCCTGTGTTTCCAACTCCTCCCTGCAATCTAGCTCTTCTTTTTCTTCATTTTCTGATTTCTTCCTTATCACCCACAGGAAGGGCCGTTTTGTCTCCAGTAGTGCTTTGGCGATCTCTTCCTTTTGGGGTTTGCTAGGATTTAATAGGCTCCCAAATGATATGTACACCACGGATGCGTTCGGCTGTGACCCCAGCCACCTTTTGATATCGTCGTTTTCGTTGTTTTCGAAGAGATCGCCCCGAAATGCGGTGTCGGAAGGGTCGTCTCCGTCATGTAAAGCTAACGGAATCAATGGTCCAACGCCGAGTAAAGTGTACCTGTTAAGGATTGGTAATGTAAAGATGAAGAAAATGAAACACATATTTTCTTGGTCACACTTCGAAATTATATTTATGTGTTTGAACTTTTGTGTAAATTAATATTCCGTGAATTAATTCCACTTTTGGTTATTTGAGTTTTATATCCATTCCACATTTAGTTCACGTCTTTTCACCTTATCCATTTTAAATATTTGACTAATGTTTCTTGATCATTTGTAGTTCTCTTCCGATGATTTTAACCACCAGAAACATTGACGAAACGATCATATATGAGCGAAAACGCAATAATCATCAAGTTCAAGTTTTTAAAACGGAGCATTTAAAATGTTTTTAGAATTTTAGTTGTACTCAATTGAAGTTTTGATCAAATTAGATCAATTCAAATCATGCCACTTCAACAAAGTGAGACTTGATGGGATAGAAATTAATAACCAAACAAACCAAATGAAAATTTTCAATTAAAATAAAAACATTCATAATTTATTATGTACCATAAATTGATTTATACCCGTACAACTATGCTTCCAAATAAATACGTAGTACTACTATACGACACCATCAGACTGTGAGTATTTCAATTCACTATAACAAACTAAAATACATAAACTTATTTATATTGATGAGATACAGCCTAGGCTAATGACGACAATATTTAGTAATAGTAATGCTTGCATGATTGATCAAATTATTATAAACATTTTCAAAAGTATCATTTGTGTTGATAATAGTAAAGGTTGACTTCGCTCTCCATAATTAGAATCCAATCCAATCGAGGTCACCCCCACTAATCCATCAAAATCTCGCAATCGTCGTCTCCCCTGCTCAAGGAGTTCATTGTCGGCACCACTGCACCAGTGAACTCATCCGCCACCAAAAGATTGACTTATGTTATAGGTGAAACTAGGGGTGGGAAAAACCCAACCGAACCCCGGAAACCGACTCTGGACTGACCTGAATTATGATCCCGATCCGAATTTTTTCTTTTTAACCGGTTTGAATTAAAAAAAAAACGGACCGAATCGAAAATTCTGGGCTCATTAACGGGCCTTAAAATCTATAACCCGGCCCGGACCGAAAAAACCCGAAACAATTAGTTTTAATATAAAATTAATATAGTACTAGGGTATATGAATATAAATAAAATATTTCCTAATATATGATTATAATCACGATAGATAAAAAAAGATTTAGTAACTTTTAGTGACTACAAATACGTTGAATTTGTTTAGCGTAATGATGACCATGAGAATATATTTATAGCAACTCTAGTAACTTTTTGATTTATAAAATTTATTTCGTAATATTTTTAAGAAACCTATATTATTTATATATATATATATATATATATATATATATATATATATATATATATATATATCTTACATTCTTACATAAAATATCTTCTTTAAGTTTGAATTGTTGGTGATTTTGGAGACTAATATTTGTGTTATTATTTGTGGTTTGTATTTTTGATTAATTTTATTAGAAAATAAGTGTTAAAAATATAAAAGAACAATGACACATTTCACGTCCGGGCTTTAACCGGTCCAACCCGAACCCGGACCAAACCCGGGATACCAAAAACCTGACTCGGACAGAATATAATGGGGCTTTGTTCCGGTCCCTTATTTTCATAACCCGAGACCTTCCGGGTAATTTCCGGATTTAGCAAAAACCCAACCCAGACCGGACTGATCCCACCCCTACATGATGAAACTAGGGGACAACTAATTATATTATAATTAATTAAGTTAGAGATGAAATGTAACATTTAGTCCTATTTAAATAAAACGGATAAAGTCCTTTCACTTTAAAAAATAATAACCCTATTAAATAGTCCTATTAATTATTCTTCCCAAAATAGGACTACAGTATATTTTATTATCCTATTCTACCCTTACCGTAACTTAATAGGAAAGTCATATTTAATTTGTAATAAGAACAAAAAAATAATAATAAATTTTTATCTTACACAAAACAAATTTTTTTTAAAAAAAATATTTTTTAAACATATACTTAAGTAATAAAAAGTAAAGAAAAGATTAAAAATCTTTAAAAATAAATAAATATAGATAGAATACATTAAAAATATAAAAAAAAATATGGAGGTCTTTCCCACAACCTCGGCCACTGTCCAACAATGTTACATCCGATCGACTAAAAATGCGATTTTGTGTAAAAATTGTAATTCTTCTCTAAAAATATCATGAAGATGTCATTTTTAGTCTTTAAAAATGTCAAAATTTTCTCGAAAATTGCCATCAAGATGACATATTTGACACATATTGGTGTTTTTGTGGTCGGAGCTAGTGGTGCTGATAGGTTATTGAGGCAGCACCGCGGCAGCATAGGCCTTTTTTTTTTTACGTTTTTTAATTTTTTATTTATTTTTTAAAGTTTTTTATTTTATAATTTTTCATTTTTTGAATTTTTTATTTCTATTAATTTTATTTAATATTTATTTCGTGTTTTTTATTTTGTTTACATTTTATTATATACTTCGTATAAAATTATATTATTCCTTTTATGTTTTAATTATTAGTAAAATATGAATTGTATTAAAAGAAAGCAGGGGTAGAATGGGAAAGCTAGTCCTATTTAAGGAATTCTCCTTTTTCTAAAGAAGGTAAAAACCTCTGAATACGAGTAAAATGATTTGAAATTCTAAAATATGATTGTTATGTTTTTATTCTATAAATCGGAGTAATTTCTGTCAAGTTTTTTCCAAACTTGACAGAAACTATCATGTTTAAAGTTTGATAATACAAAACTTCACAATAAAAACATAAAAGTCCTATTTTAAAATTTTAAATAGAGAATACTGGTATTACCCGAAATAGGACTAAAAAGGTTTAAAAATTCCAAAATAGGTCTCACATGTTTTTATTCCCTAAATAGGACTAAATACTGTCATGTTTTGGAAGTATCAGATTTCAAACACGGCTGTATTTTCCAAACTTGACAGTGGTTACTCCTATTTTGGGAATAATAACATGACGGTCCTGTTTTAGAATTTTCAAACTCTTTTAATCCTATTTTGGGAACTTGCCCATTGAAATAGTGTTACGGCGGGCAATTTCTATTCTCTATGGGGAAAGTTCTTGAAATAGGACTAAGGGAGTGTTTGCAACAACTTTAAAAAAACACTTCTGAGCTTTTGGCTTAAAAAACACTTATTTACCAAACACTACCAATTTTTATTTTTTCTCGGCTTGCGTGTGAAAAGTGTTTTTCCATTTTCTATTACACAAAAGAGAAATGGTGCCAAATAGAACCTTAAGTTTCCGTATATACTTAAATAGGACCTTGACTTTTTTACTCTTAAATAGGACCTAATTTTTTCCGTGTTACAGGTTTGCCCCTGAATCTATTACGCCTTACTCCCCTTCTCTTCTCTTTCATACGGTCATACCATAAGCGACCAGGCAGGGAGGGGCTTCAGGCGAGTCAGCTACGCAGCGGTTGATGTACGGCATCAGCGGTTGATGTACGGCGTCGATCGTGGGTGGCACATTCTTCTTGTTCTTCTTGTTCTTCTCTTCTCCCCTTTTCATGTGTCGATCTAGCAGTTTTCTTCTGCAGGTGTAGTTGCTTTTCTTTGGCCTATCTCAGATCTGATTACTAACCTCCCTTTTTTTATTTTGGAGGCTGCCTCTCTCCCTTTTTATGGAATATAAGTTGTATTACCAGTTTTTTGATTCGGAGATTTTCTGTTTTAAAAAGAGAGAGGCGGTTGACAGAAGATTTTCTGCTTTTAATTCGAAGGGTAGATCGACTATGCCTTTAATTTTGCTATGCAAGTTACTTTATACTATCGTAACTTTTAACATTAGGTTAGCTCATCTGGTGCATTCTATTTTTCATATAACCTTTGAGTGCATGTTGCTGAACAACCTAACTAATTTATTTGAAGTTTTTTCAAATACAAGTTATCAACCGGATTAATTTAACCCATCTTAGGCTCTGTTTGCAACCTCTTAATTTAAGTGATTGTGGCTTTTTTCTAAGAAAAAAGCACTTATTTTATCAAACACTACCAACTTTTACTTTCTCGGTTTTCGTGTAGAATCTACTTTTTACTTTTTCTATTACACAAAAAACACTTATTTTACCAAACACTACCAACTTTTACTACTAATCACTTTTTCCCAAAAAGTGCTTTTATTTAAGCACAAGCACTTGCAAACAAAGCCTTAATGTGGTGGTGTAAGTGATTTTAATTGATGTATCTTCAATGTAAAATAAAGAAGTAAAAGGCAGTTGATTAAGTACAGACATGTGAGCAGTTGGCTCTTCCAGACCTAGTCATAAACATAAATTATACTCCGTACTACGTATTAAGGGAGTGTTTGCGATTGCTTGTGCTTTTTAAAAGTGATTTTTTTAAGAGATTATTGGAAAAGTGATTTAAAGTAAAAGTAGATAGTGTTTGGAAATAGAAGTAATTTTATTAAAAAAGTAAAAGTTGAAGTGTTTGATAAAAAAGTGATTTTTGTATGGAGTAGATTGTAGAAGTACAAATTTACCCTTCCTAATTAAATACCCAAGGACCCGTCTCTTTCCTCAGCCTTTCCTTTCATCGCAGCTTCATCGCAGCAAGCATTCTGTGTTCAACCAGCAAGTTCCGATCCATGCCTGTCAAACCGATCCTTGAGTTTTAGCAAGAATTTCTCATTATCTCTTCCTGGAACTTCTACTAACCTCTTAAGGACTTTTTCTTTTCTTCATATCCAATGTTCTTTATATCAATTTCACAAGTCTCACCTCTTAACGCCGCTGCAGCCGCGCCGCCGCACCACAACCGGCGGATGTCACCGTCGCCGTCACGGTGGTGAGCCGGCTTTGATATGAGGCTGAGGCGGAGGACGATAATACACCGTCGAAGTCCCCCGGCGGCGATTCTCTGCTTTCAAATTAAAATCCCCATGTATGTGTGTGGGGAAAAGGGGAAGAAAGAAGTGTAGAAGAAGTGCAGAGCGTAGCGGCGTGGGTAGGGGTGAGCTTCGACATTAGATTGGTGGGGGAGGGATGAAGGGTATTTTGGGTTTAATTGGGTATAACATTATCCCTAAAGTTGGAGTTATTTACAACATTACCTAAAAGCACTAAAAAGCATCACTTGGGTAGCTTTTAGATTTTGGCTTAAAAGCACTTTAAAAAAACAGAATTTGGGATTAGCAAACACCTTTTTTAGCTTTTCCAAAGCTAAAAGCTCCAAAGTGCTTAAAAAAAACAAATGCAAACACTGCTTAAGTAGAGACATGTGAGCAGTTGATTAAGTTGTCTTGCAAACATTGCACTTGCTGAAAAAAAATTATACTCCGTATTTCATAATGATTGACATTTTTATGACATTATCATTGACATTTTTATGACATTGTCATTGTGATTAATTGGCATTACAACATTTTTAAGACGTTGTGACTTCATTTTTATAAAATCAACATCGTCATAATAACTATTGACATTGTCACAATGACAATGTCATTTTATAGCATCGACAATGACATTGCCATTGTGACATTTTCTTATCCCGGTGACATTTTTATACATTGACATTTTTATGACATTGTCATTGGAAATGTCATCGTGTCAAGATATGTCATTGTAATTCCATGACACTAGTTATGTACAATAAACAATGTCATAACATTGCCATTATGATATTTTGGTATGACATTGTTAACAAGTGTCATTGTGTTTTTATAATGCCATTGTGATTGTGATATTGTGACATTATGTAATGACATTATGAGATTGTGATACTAAAATTGTACAATTGTCAAGAAATAATGTTTGTTCACAATATCACAATATTGTGATATTGTGATATTATTTAATAATATTGTGAAAATGACAAGGAAATTAAATATAGACAAAATTAGAATCTACATGGTAAAAGTAGATAGAAAAATTTAGAATAACTAAGAGAATAAGAGAAATTGGTAAAAAAAAAAAAACATAGAATAAGAGAAAGGAAAACCAAACAAGAATTTAGAGAAATGAAACAAAGGGAACTCGAAACAATAATGAAACAAAATGGAAAATTGAGAAAGAAAAAAAAAAGCAAAAAGGGGGAAATCACAAACAGATCTGGACAAAAAGAAGAAAGCTCAATAATTGACTTTGCTGAGCTCAGCGATGTCACCTTCCTTCTCCACAGGTCATCGAGACACAAACAGAACAACAAATTGGTTTTGTAAAAATCGGAAAATCCTAATTGCTCCGGCTAGAATCAACTGAGTAAGCTTTCAACCCCATTTTTGTTCAACAAAACTTGAAAAGAAGCAGCAGCAAAAAATAAGAGAAAGAAGAGGACGATCCGGCGACGACCAGAGGCATATACTCCGGCGATTACTAGCGGCAGACCGGCAGTTAACACAAAACATTCGAGCGTCAAGATGAAGGGAAACGGAATTGAGGACGGCTTCGGTCAGGGAATTTTGAATCCCGATGGATACAATGGAGGACGGCGAGGGAATTGTGAATTGTGAATTCGTGAGGACGGCTTCGTTGCGTGTTGTGTGGCTGGTGCGTGAGATGTGAGGGTATTTTTGTCCCTCCCCGAAAAAAAGTACGGAGTAGTCCTAGACGGGAGTTAATAAACATTGAGTCCTATTTAAGTTCAACGAGCATTTTTTTAGTCCTACTTATTGTGAGCTTTGTTAGTAATATACGGTTCGTGAATAATACAATAATACGTACGTTCGTGTATAATACGACACAATTATATAAAATACGGCTTAATATATGTTTCATACGTTCGTGAAATATATAAAGATACGGACGCGTTTTAAACGTTTTACAATTTAAAAATACGGCATATAATATGTGTCTTATATACTAATTTAATGATAGAAATAAAAAGTTATTTAACATTTGAACCACATTCTTCAACAATTTAAAATGTACGGAATAATTTTTTCGTATATACAGATTTGAACACATAAGTACACTAAGTAATAAAAATGGCATTGCCTATTTGAGTAGAAGTAGAGAAATATTATTAGAGAATAGTTGATATTACTGTGACCGTGAGTTTCGTGAGCCGCCACAACATTTTACGATCTCTTTGGAGTTTTGGTATGTGTGGAGAACATTAGTAGTACAATAGTAGTATTGAAAAGGATTACGAATTTAAGAAGCTAATTTATTAAATGTAATGACTATGAAACAATTAACGAACATATAAGGCATAATTTTTTTAAGCAATATAAATAATATTGAGCAGCTAAACATTTTGTTTCAATTGTATCACTACATTAGGCTTCCGTTTAATGGTGTGTGTTTTTGAATAAAATATGTATCAATACATACAGTACGTGTATTATACATTTTATGCTTAAAGTACGTGAGGTTTACAATAAAATTCATAAACAAGAGTATTATGCGGGAATAAAATACGTATCAATACGTACGGTACGTGTATTATACATTTTATTCTTAAAGTACGCGAATTTTTCCGAATTTTTTGAAAAATTCATAAACGGGAATATTATACGCGAATTATACGTTTGAGTGTATTATACGCGAATTATACGCGAATAAACTAACAGAGATTGTGAGAAAGGCTTACCAACGTGGTAGCCCTAGGTGTCATATATATAATAAAAATATGTCCTGAATATATTAGGAAACTACATAAAGATGGAAACCTAATTAATGGATATTAATTACTCTATTACTTATGTCTTTATACCTACACAAAAAGCACTTATTTTATCAAACACTGCCAACTTTTACCTTTCAAAATCATTTTTTTTCTCAAACACTATCAACGTTTACTACTAATCACTTTTTTCTTACATGTCTAAAAGTACTCTTTTAAGCAGAAGCAGTTGCAAACACTCCCCGAAACACTTTGAAAATTTCAAAATAGAATTGTGAGGTTTGATGTCTTGTAATTAGTCTTATTTAGAAAAGAAAAGTCTCGTTTTGCAATTTTCTCTATTCTATAAAATCAATGATTGGAGCGAATATTAGCACTGCAACCGGCAATGATAGTACGGTACCTTATCTCAACGGCCTTCAGGGTCTCCGCCTCTAAGGCGTCGAACGTGTTGACCAGCACCGTCTGATCACTGGGTTGAAGCTCGTCTAGCTTTTCCAGTTCCTCTTTGCAGGTGGCCAGAGCGAAACTATAATCTCCGTCGGAGCCGGAGGGCAAAAAGAACGACGGGAGATCGTCCCTTGAAAGCGGCGGCAGCCCCGGCAGCTCAACCACCTCCTTTTCCAATATGGCGTCCTTGTACCCGTGGAAATAGTGGTAGTAAATACCCAATACGGCGGCGGGTTGAATCCAGAGGAGGGCGGTCGGAAGTTTGAGCTCACGCGCCACGTCGCCAACCCAGGGAAGCAGGATATTCCGGACGACCGCCGTGACGGGGCGGCCGTCGGAGGCGCAGCCGGAGAGGATGTCTCTCAAAGCCTGGGAACCTCGGGTCCTGAGATCGGACAAGTATTGGTTCATGTCGTCGTGGTTCATTCTGAAGCCGTGCTCGTCGTAGCCGTCGGAGAAAGGGGTGATGGTGAAGCCGGCGACGCGGGGGACGCCGGCGGCGTTGGCTTTGAGCATTAAGCGGTGGGCGAAGACGGTGGTGGAGAGGGTGACGTGTATGCCCATGCGGATGAGGCGCTGGGCGAACTGGAGAAAAGGGTTGATGTGCCCTTGCGCCGGGTAGGTGACTATTACAATATGCGGCGGCGGTGGCGGCGCCATTATATTGCTGCGCTGCTGTGCTATGGAAGAAAGGTGAACAGGAAGAGATGAAAATGATACTAGTATTTTCCGTAATAAACCTGTTAAGGATGGGAGGATATTTATATACGGAGAGGGCAACCTCAAAAAAGAAGAATGAACAAAAGTCCCCGAGCTCCTCCGTTAGACCATTTGGGGAGTGGTGTGAGAGTCTAAATGTCAAAAATGGATTCCGTTCATATGAAAACAGTGTTTTAACTCCTATTTCTCTGCATTCCAGCACCTTCAATAAAATACACTCTGCACATTTTTTTATATCTCAATTTAGTAAAACATTAATTAAATTATTATAAGTAATGTTTTCCCTTTAATTTTTTCTTTGAATAATTATAAAATAAAAAAAGACACATTTCGATGTAAAAAAATAATTTCATAAATGTTTTTTTTACGTTTTTCGATGAACTGAGTTCAAACTTATTAGAACATTGGATTCTCTTTTCAACTTGTGTGTCTATCCATAACACATTGGATTCCCTTTTCACATGTGTAAAAAATGCACATTCTGATGTTAAAAAAAATCTTTAATTTCTTTTATACTTTTTCCTGCTATTAAAATATAAATTGGGTTTAAAATTGGGTTCAACTACTGTTTGTCTATTTGTTGAGACACCATGGTTTAATAAATTTATGTTTCGTGTATTTTTTCAGCCTAAAATACTCTGGCAGTTTGAACATCATTTATACATTTAATTTTATATATGTGATATTGGTGTCATATGAAAGATCATAAAAAAATAAAAAATTTGATATATGTTTTGTAAAAATTGAAGCACAAATAAATAAGTTATCACACTTTTAAAAAAGAAAATATTTTTTATGTGGTCCCATTATTCTTCCGTATGCCCCTTTTTTGTTGTCCACTATTTGTTTCAGGCATCATTTTCCTTTTTTTCCATACTTTTTGGCTGTCAACCCAACCTTTGATATATGAGACCTTCTATCCAATTTTCCATTTCTAGACTCCCAAATTGGTCTCCAATGTAAGCATTTAGGAGTCTAAAATTTCCATTTTTGACATTTTAGACTCCTAATACCTTACCACTCCAAATTGCCTTAGGCGACGCGAAGATGGAACTAGGGGATAGGGGGTGGCCCGCTGGCCCCTCACATGTTTTCCGATTTTGATAATTGCGTTTTTGAGTTAGAAAATATTTGTCCTCACATTTTTTTCACTTACCTTTTTCAAAAACGATCTTCTCATTTTTTAGAGAAAGTACTGCATAGCTAGTGGCTAATACTGATTTACTTTTATTTTACTTAACTACAACCAGAGGTAACTCAACTGATTGAGTGCTGAAAAAGTTGGAGAATTGACCATTGATTGAAACTCGTGACGACTGTGTGAAGGTTACAACTCATGTGTTTGGGTTGGACTCCTGATGTGCATAGGTACATGATCCACAACTATTAAGCACACTTAGTCAACGTAGCTTACAACTTACCTAATACTTATCGGGTCAGGGCGACTAAGGGCGTAGAACACTCTTGGGGTGAGGATTCAATAGAGGATTTCTGTTGACACAAATTTATAACCCATACGATTAGCTAACTTCTACAACATGCTTACTATTCATGGCCGGTTCTAAGAGGGGTGCAATAGGGCCATGGCCGGTTCTAAGAGGGGTGCAACAGGGGCGACCGCCCTAGACCTGAAAAAATAGAAGAAAAAATAGGTCCAAGATTTTTTCTTTATATATAGTTTGAGTACGCTTATTTTTTATTCTTATGTTCAGTTAATTAGGTCTAACGTTTAATTTTGTTGACAATTTGAAAATTTAAAACATAAATAAAGAAACTTAAACATAGCCAAGTTTAAAAAAGAATATATACATTAATTTTAAGTAGGATCAGTTGTAGTTTATAAAACCAATACAATTGTTGTTGCATCAATAAAAGACATGTCTCTCCAGTCTTCACATCTCTTTGGCCTTAAAGGTTTTTATTCATTTTAATTATAACATAACAAATTTATATAATTATTTTAGAACCTGTGTCTCTCAAATCTCATCCTTATTATTTATTTGTTTCCAAATCTCAATAAACTAAATCTGAGTTCCTAATCGTAGTTTTAGATGACGTAAAATTTCCAATCTTCTTGCGCGAGTCTTCTTGGCAGCCAAACATTTTTCTCTTTAAAACCTTTCATTCTTTCGAAACTTCAAACTTTAGACTCTCATTAGCGGTCAATAAATCATTCTCAACTTATGAATTCAATATGCAGTAAAATTTCTTTTCATTTATCCTTTCAAAAGAAAGTTTAGCGTTTTTATATGTGGCAACTTTATTGCTTGTCATATTTATTAGTGGAAAGAAGGTTGTCTATGAAGCAATTTTCCATGATTTGCTTCGCATTGTTCTATGAGAAACATTTTTAGGTAATGTCTTTTCTTTTTATTCCAAACTGGCGTTGATACTTTTGCTCAAATATGTAACTAAAATAATAATCAAGTGATTCATGTCTTTATTTTATGAACTTCATTGGATACTTTTTTTATAATTCATATTTCAAATAAGTATATGGTTTACTATTTTTCGTGTGTATATATATATATATATATATATATATATATATATATATATATATATATATATATATATATATAAGCCTAAAATAGCGTACCGCCCATAGGCCCAAAAATGGACAGGACCGGCCCTGTTACTATTAACCTACTCTTCTATCCCTTATAATTTGCAAAGTTGATTGAAAATTCTCTTTGTGTCATTACTTTGACAATTTTTCCTTTTCAGTCGCAAAAAAAATTGTCACTTTTCCATTGAAATAGCTATTTTGTGGTTCTGCTCATTTGTCTCTCCTCTGCATAAACTTTAACCACACAATTTTTACTATTTTTATTTCTTTGATTATACAAAGTCCATTAAGACGGAGCGAGTATATGAAATATACTACTACCTCCGTCCCATTTTATTTGTCTCCTTTGACTTTGACACAACTATTAATAAAGTAGTTGAAAATGTAAAAGTTGTGATTGAAATTTGAGTATAATAAAGTGAAATGTTTTGGACCACATATTTCTTTTTAAAAAAAGAAATGTTACGCTTATTTTGGGACAATCTTAAAAGAAAAGTAAGACAGGTAAAATGAGATTGAATTAGTATAAAAATGAGTTGTGTTAATTTTGATACGGTCAAATTAAATACTCCTCATCTCCTACGGAGTACGGAGTACTTCGTATTATATTCAAACTCCTCCAAACTAAAAGGCGTCAGGAGTGACGTTTAAGGGGACGAAGAAATCCATTATAATCTAACAGCAAAATGAAAGGGGGCCTGCTTTTCCCGCTCGGAAATGTCACTGTCAATTCTTTGTTGTGCATTGTTCATTGATCGAAGGTTTGCTGAAGGTTTATCGTGTAAAAAATACTAAAGTTAGGCCCCGGCATGTGACGTTTTGAAAGAAACGAATGGATGTAGAAAGTTGAGACACTGTATAGATTTCTTTAGGATTTCCAACCCCCTATGGCTGATTCTCATTGGTTGCCTTTTTCGATGAACAGTAAAATTAGTGCGGATGATACACAGGGTAAATAATTGTTCTGATTTGCTGTCACTTTTTAGAATTCAAAATTTGAAATAAAGTTTTCCCCCCAATTCGTATAGTGTTCCAATTGGTTCACTGAGGCGTCAAATTCACGGTTATAAATGCAGTGATAGCCATGTTACAACATCACACTCATGGTCAGTCATGGCAGTAAAGAAAACAAAAATACAAGGTTTTCTGAAAATGGTTTGCATTTGTACCAATTCCGTGAGATGGATCACCAAGCCGAGGGCGATACTGGGTTTAAGGAGCCAATTCATGACTGTTTTCCCAGTCACAGCCCATAGGAGGGATTAGGAGGTCATCTTTCATGACAAGAAGGTTGGAGCATTTTATGGTTTACATTTGACATTTCATCTACTTTTCTAAAAATCGATTTATTCCAACACCGTTTCGTATTTCAGGGGTCCAAGATGCATGCACACATTTCAGACAAGTTTATTAACATGTTTATCAGTGAGAAACACGCAATCTGGATCTGGATGCCCTGGACAACATCAACAAGAAATATGGCGCACAAAATGTTTATTTCATTACATGATAAACCTTTTCAGTTCTAAAAATAAACATATACTCCATATTATTTATAAAATTATAATCTAGAATTTATTAGCATTTACCCCTCAGTCTACGTTATTTTCCTCGAATAGTTTTTCCTGAACAGGAAAATTAATAGGCTTGGGGCGCATAAACTCAGTAAGTGTCTTTGTGTACCTGGCATGCATTTCAATATGAGTATATAATATTTTGTTTAGTATAGCTGATGGGTCCAAAGGACTAAAGGCAGTATTGCTTCCGTGCAATACATACAATAGCATCGGGACCATAGCTTGCATTAAAATAACTAAGGTTGTGTGATCTAATGTTTTGGTTTTTTTAATTCTTCAAAACAGATATAATCGAAAACATGATTGAAAACATGATTTTTATGCTTTTCTTTCATTCAAAATGTATATTGGATTAATATACTCTTAAACATTCAGTCAGTGCATAGAGAAGCGTACATGTGGCCTGTTTTGGGGCAGCTTGTGGTGCCATATATTTTATTATTACAACATTTTCAAACTTAAATAAAGGGGAGGGGGGTTGGCATGTGGTAGTGATTCTTCAGAATTTATAGAAAAGGTGAATTTGTGACCGTTTGATTTAATCGAGGGCCTTTAAGTTGGCCGTTTGGTGATGGGAGGTTCCATGAGTTAAAGCCTGAAGGAGTAGGTAGCGGTTGGGTGGTTCGAGAAAAATAACTGGTGTTGGGTGGTGGGTGGTTGGATTTTTTAATTAAAAAAAAATGATGTGCATGGGGTGGGTGTTTTGAACTTTGAAAATAGCACGTGGGTGGGGCACGGTCTGAAATTACGCAGGCTGCCACATTATTTTGTCGGTACTTTTCTACTGTGTCTAGATTCTTCTTTTAAAAAAATGTTTTACAGAGTAGTATCAATTTTTTTGTTGGGTAAAAAATTCACAGGTCATTTAAAAAAAATCCTAGACATTTCGGTAGCCCTTCTTCTAATAAGTTAGGGCTCTTAATAAAATAACTATTCAGTAGTATTTAAAAAATCGATTCCATATGTTTTGGAAAAAAATTACAACTACTTCTATTTATAACGAAAAATTAAAGGAATGAGTTTCAATAGAAAAATAAATACTATCGTATGTTTTTCTGATTATTAAAATACTCCCTCCGTAACTTAAAAATCTTCTCACTTTCTTTTTTCGTCCATAACAAAAAAAATCTTCTCATTTCTAAATCTTCTCATCATACCCTCAATAATTCTTAAAATAATACACTATTACAACTACTTTTTTTGGATTTATCCTACATTCCACCACATTATTCCACTATTTTCCCATCATACCCTCAATAATTCATATCATCTTTCACTATTCTTAATCTACCTACTTTTGAAATGGGAAAATTTTAAAGTTACGGAGGGAGTATTTTACTAAAGATAATTAATACAAATTAAATTGGTATAAAAAACTACCGTGTTTGGTAAAAAAAATGCTTCGTTAATATTTGCCCGAAAACAATGTGTAAAATTTTTTGTGTTGATGTTTAAATCATGGCGGGAAAATAGACAAAAAGTCGGATCTTGCAGATCTGTGTGTTTAATTGTTGATAAGTTTTGATCTATATTTTTTCCAATTTTATTCTTACAAAATACAATTACTTCCATTCAAAATCGTTCGATCTTGGAGGATTGTCTTTCGGAACCGGATGAAAAAAAGACCAGATCTGTGGTTTTATCACATTTTTTGGATAAAATTTTAACGATAATTTTGTTGAAAGTTAATGAAAAAATCACCAGAAGCATTAGTGTTGTGTTCGTGCATGTAAAGTGTTTGAATAGGGTTTGTGGTGTTGTGTGATTTCGGATGAAGAAGGTTACCTTTGAAGCCTATTCGTGAACGTCGTTGTTAATAGCCGGTGGCGTCTGGTGTCTTCTCTGCAGTGATCTAGGCCTCTTCTAATCGTCGTTGTTAGGCATCGATGGCGGAGTGCTGCTGCATGCTGTGTGTTTGAGGGGGTATGGTTTGGAGTTTGGTTCATAGGTTGAGGATAGACGTTTTTTTCTTCTGGCCGGAGTTATTTTGCTAAGTTCTGACGTTGTTCTGTGATGGGCCGGTGTGTAGGTTTCCGATGTGCTCAGTTCGTTAGAGAGAGATGGTGGAGCTGTAAGTTTCGACATAATTTCAGGGTTTGGGTGGGGATGAGCAGTTCAGGGAATATATGGGTTAGGTTATGGGTTATTGGGCTGTGATTGTCGGCTTTGTTTGGGCCGCACATGTGATCCGTTTCGGCTTCTTCCCGGAAAAACATTGGGTTTCATTATTCTGGCCTTTAACTTGGATGGAATGTTTGGTTTTTTGCTAAAATTAATTTCTTATAAATTGCCTATTTGAGGCTTTATTATACTTATCCTTTTTTTCCTTTTTTTTGTTCAGCCAATATATTGATATTCAATACGAGTAATTAAAATATTGTTTCATTGTAATATGTCACTGTTTTTGCAGTCAGTATTGGTTGTTTCAGTTCAGGTTATAGTAATACTATTGTGCTTTGATTTAATGACAGATTTTTTATCGTGTTTCCGTTTTGCCCCAGCTTTCGTTATGTATTACATTGTCCTTTAACGTTGTGTTATTTAAATTAATTAATTCAGCTCCGTTAAAAGATTTGAAAAAAAAAACGTATCGTTAAGGCATGACATGTATACTGTGGGTTCAACATATTTGACAAGAAATAAAATGCAATTGGTGATGTTGGTTTTGGACCTATCACTGGTGAGAAATAAAAAACGTCTCAGAATTATTGATCATTCAATGGGGTTGTATAATGACACTCGCTCATTCTCATTAGGCTTTGCGATCATATTTTGGAGGGGAAAATTTTGACTGGTATTAGTGGTGGACAGAAAGTGTTGATTCCTCGATTTTATCATCAACGGATCTTTTTGGGCTGATCGTGTTGAAAACATTTTGAAGGGAAAAAAATGGGGTAGAAACTCTCAAACCGTACATCTCTAAAAGTACTTTATTAAGTAGAAGCAGTTGAAAACACTCCCTGAAACTAGGGCTGAGCAAAACCCGAACCGACCCGCAAAACCCGAAGTTTTTTTCGGATAATATCCGAACCGAAATGGATATCCGACCCGAAAAACCCGAAACCGAAAATCCGATTAGTATTGGGCCTAGATCGGGTGGCGGGTAGGGTTTGTAAAATTCTAACCCGACCCGCCCGAATATCCGAAATATATTTAATAATTTAGTATGTACTTTGAATATGTTAAATTAATACTTGTGTTCAATTATTTGTGTAATTATTTGAGCAAATTGTGTTAAATTATTTTTGTAATTTGAATGTGTAGTGCACTAGTGTGTACAATTTTTGTCAAAGTGACATTCCAACACTTTAATTATCCAATTATAATGTGTTTTAATATAACTGAAATATTCGAAATATATTAAATTATGTAGTGTGTACTTTGAATATGTTGTAGTCTAAAACTGGGATAAAGAAGGAAATATAAACTGAAGGCTTAAGCATAAACGAGCTAATAGGCTGCTGTATCAAATCATATATTTCATTGAAGTAACAAGGCTATATATAGCCATAATAATGTTAAACAAAGTGATCCACTAATGACTCAACTAACTCCTATTATTTAGGCCTGATCACACGTTCAAAAGCAATAAACTAAAGTGCTGAACTGACTCCACAAAAGTAGCTAAACATGAAGACTAAATCTTATTTTAATTATAAGAAAAACTGAAAAGATCATTTCTTTTCCTCAAAGCCACGTATGTATGTTGCGTGCATCATTTCATGCACACGAAGCTTGGTCAGCTTTCAACATATGTTAAATTAATACTTGTGTTCAATTGTTTGGGTAATTATTTATGCAATTTGTATTAAATTATTTACGTAATTTGAATGTTTAGTGCACTAGTTTGTAGAATTTTTTATCAAAGTGGCATTCAAACACATTAATTATCCAATTATAATTTTTTTAATATAACCGAAATATCCGAAACCCGATCCGAAACCCGATAATATCCGACTTACAGATATCCGAAAAACCCGATTTGAAATATCAAAGGGTCGGGCCTAGTATTTAACTTTAAAAACCCGAACGGGTTTAGGGTACGCAGACCCGACCCGCCCGAACCCGGCCCGTGCTCAGCCCTACCTGAAACACTTTGGAAATTTCAAAATAGAATTGTCATGTTTGATGTGTGGTAATTAGTTCTGAAAAGAAAAGTCTTGGGAGGTGTTTACTTCACTGCTAAAGTCACAGTTAGGTTAGTAAGACAGGTGAAGTAAACACGCACACTGCTTAAAAAGTCGCTTACTAACCGAAAGAGGTGCTTAAAGTGCCGCTTATTAAGCATACCACCCCCCATGTATTAATTAAGCGGCACTTTAAGCTTTTTCAGTTTCCGAATTTACCCCTTGCCCTTAACCTATTGTTATCCCTGCCCCACCTCGACCCCAACCCCACCCTACCCTTACCCCACCTACCCTACCCCCGACCCCACCCCACCTACCCTACCCTACCCCACCTACCCCACCCCAACCCCACCCCGGGGTACCTAACCGACCCCCACCATACCCTTACCTACCCCGACCTACCCGACCCCCCCTACCACTACCCCAACCCCACCCTACCCTTACCCCACCTACCCCACCCCGACCCCACCCCTACCCCAAACCGACCCCCACCATACCCTTACCTACCCCGACCCTACCCCTACCTACCCGGCCCCCCTACCACTACCCCGACCCCACCCTACCCCTACCTTACTTGTCCGACCCCCACCCTACACGTACCCCCCCACCCCACCCCATTACCAGACACCCCCCTACCCTACCTAACTAACCCCCACACTACCCTTACCCCACCTACACTACCCTTACCCCGACCCCACCCATACCCTTACCCCACCTACCCTAACCCCTACCCGACCCCACCTTACCCCTACCCCTACCCTGACCCAACCCAACCCTACCCCGTCCTACCCCTACCCGACCCCACCCTACCACTACCCTACCTACCCAATCCCACCCCTACCCTACTTACCCGACCACACACCTACTCTTACCCTACCTACCCCACCCCTTACCCTACCTACCCCACCCCTTACCCACATACCCGACCCCACCCTACCCTATCCGACCCTACCCCTACCCTACCCCGCCTCAACCCCCACCCTACCTACCCGAACCCACCCTACCACTACCCGGGTTGGGTAGGGTAGGGGTAGGGGCGGGGTTGGGGTAAGGTGGGGTCGGGGTGGGGTCGATGTGGTAAGGGCCTATGGGGGTAGGGGCCTATGGGGTCGGGGTAGGGTTGTGGTAGGGTGGGGACAGGTTAGGGTGGGGTCGGGTAGGGTAGGGGTAGGGTTGGGTAGGTAGGGTGGGGTCAGGTAGGTAGGGTAGGGGTAGGGGTAGGGGTAGGTGGTAGGGTGGGTAAGAGGTTAGGGGTATGGGTACACATATTATATTATATACTTGTGTTCATGAATGTTTGTGTGTATATATATGTATAGGGTTATTTTGGACATTTTAATGTTAAGCGGTGTTTTAAACCGTTTGAAGTAAACACGGTCTTACAACATTGTTTATTTTATGCGCCGCTTATTAACACGGGTCTTAATAAGCACCGTTTAATAACCGGTGAAGTAAACATGTCCTTGGTTTTGCAATTTTCTCTATTCTATAAAATCAATGATTGGAGCGAATATTAGCACTGCAACCGGCAATGATAGTACGGTACCTTATCTCAACGGCCTTCAGTGTCTCCGCCTCTAAGGCGTCGAACGTGTTGACCAGCACCGTCTGATCACTGGGTTGAAGCTCGTCTAGCTTTTCCAGTTCCTCTTTGAAGGTGGCCAGAGCGAAACTATAATCTCCGTCGGAGCCGGAGGGCAAAAAGAACGACGGGAGATCGGCCCTTGAAAGCGGCGGCAGCCCCGGCAGCTCAACCACCTCCTTTTCCAATATGGCGTCCTTGTACCCGTGGAAATAGTGGTAGTAAATACCCAATACGGCGGCGGGTTGAATCCAGAGGAGGGCGGTCGGAAGTTTGAGCTCACGCGCCACGTCGCCGACCCAGGGAAGCAGGATATTCCGGACGACCGCCGTGACGGGGCGGCCGTCGGAGGCGCAGCCGGAGAGGATGTCTCTCAAAGCCTGGGAACCTCGGGTCCTGAGATCGGACAAGTATTGGTTCATGTCGTCGTGGTTCATTCTGAAGCCGTGCTCGTCGTAGCCGTCGGAGAAAGGGGTGATGGTGAAGCCGGCGACGCGGGGGACGCCGGCGGCGTTGGCTTTGAGCATTAAGCGGTGGGCGAAGACGGTGGTGGAGAGGGTGACGTGTATGCCCATGCGGATGAGGCGCTGGGCGAACTGGAGAGAAGGGTTGATGTGCCCTTGCGCCGGGTAGGTGACTATTACAATATGCGGCGGCGGTGGCGGCGCCATTATATTGCTGCGCTGCTGTGCTATGGAAGAAAGGTGAACAGGAAGAGATGAAAATGATACTAGTATTTCCCGTAATAAACCTGTTAAGGATGGGAGGATATTTATATACGGAGAGGGCAACCTCAAAAAAGAAGAATGAACAAAAGTTCCCAAGCTCCTCCATTATAGGCGACGCGAAGATGGAACTAGGGGTTTTTTACCAAAAAAAAAGATGGAACTAGGAGATAGGGGGTGGCCCGCTGGCACCTCACATGTTTTCCGATTTTGATAATTGCGTTTTTGAGTTAGAAAATATTTGTCCTCACATTTTTTTTCACTTACCTTTTTCAAGAACAATCTTCTCATAGCTAGTGGCTAATACTGATTTACTTTTATTTTACTTATTAACTACAACCAGATGTAACTCAACTGATTGAGTGCTGAAAAAGTTGGAGAATTGATCATTGATTAAAACTTTCGACGATTGTGTGAAGGTTACAACTCATGTGTGTTGGGTTGGACTCCTGATGTGTATAGGTACATGATCCACAACTATTAAGCACACTTAGTCAACGTAGCTTACAACTTACCAAATACTTATCGGGTCAGGGCGACTAAGGGCGTAGAACACTCTTGGGGTGAAGATTCAATAGAGGATTTCTGTTGACATAAATTTATAACGCATAGGATTAGCTAACTTCTACAACATGCTTACTATTCATGGCCGGTTCTAAGAGGGGTGCAACAGGGGCAACCACCCTAGGCTCAAAAAAATAGAAGAAAAAATAGGTCCAAGATTTTTTCTTTATATATAGTTTGAGTATGCTTATTTTTTATTCTTATGTTCAATTAATTAGGCCTAACGTTTAATTTTGTTGACAATTTGAAAATTTAAAACATAAATAAAGAATCTTAAACATAGCCAAGTTTAAGAAAGAATATATACATTAATTTTAAGTAGGATCAATTGTAGTTTATAAAAGCAATACAATTGTTGCTGCATCAATAAAAGGCATGTCTCTCCAGTCTTCACATCTCTTTGGCCTTAAAGGTTTTTATTCATTTTAATTATAACATAACAAATTTATACAATTATTTTAGAACATGTGTCTCTCAAATCTCATCCCAATTATTTATTTGTTTCCAAATTTCAATAAACTAAATCTAAGTTCCTAATCGTAGTTTTAGATAACGTAAAATTTCCACTCTTCTTGCGCGAGTCTTCTTGGCAGCCAAACATTTTTCTCTTTAAAACTCTTCATTCTTTCGAAACTTCAAACTTTAGACTCTCATTAGTGGTCAATAAATCATTCTCAACTTATGAATTCAATATGCCGTAAAATTTCTTTTCATTTATTCTTTCACAAGAAAGTTTAGCGTTTTTATATGTGGCAACTTTATTGCTTGTCATATTTATTAGTGGAAAGAAGGTTGTCTATGAAGCAATTTTCTATGATTTGCTTCGCATTGTTCTACAAGAAACATTTTTAACACTACAAGAAAAAACATAATTTGCGTCCAAGTGTTTTGCGTTAACTAAAGTCGACGCAAATAAGGTGTGTTTTACGTCAACATGTGACCGCAAATATTTTAGCATCTATCTCTCTTTTACGAGTCGACGCAAAAAAGGCACAATTAATTTAAGCTGCTTAGTATTCTCCGATCCACTTATCAATCGTCTAACCCTATTCTCTTTCATCCCCAAACCCACTCCGGATCTATTCCATTTCATCCTGCTCAGAGGACGACAAATCCATCGCAGCCGCTAAGTAGCTCAATCTGAATCTGCTTCTGCGCACTTCATCTTTCCTCTTTTACTTCGTGTAAGCAAACAACGTACACTCTTCTTCACCTTTTCCAATTTTCCATTGCGGCAACTTGGACAGGCAGGGGGATGGCATGGAGCTTGGCAACCCGTTCAGGCTTCGATCCACTTCTGCTTCAATACGGAGTCAGTCACTTTCAATTTAGGCCTTCTGTGGTTACTATGAAGCTAGAAAAACGGATTCCTTCTTCGGTTTGGACGGGAGGACGTCAATTTATTTTTATATTTTCTCAGGTTCACAGGTTACTCACATTTCTTTTATGATTTTTGGATTATTTTGTTGGTGGAATTGTCAATATAATGTTTTATTGTTGATAAAAAAAGGTATGTGTAGTTCTTTCTTAATGATACACAATATCATTGCTGGCCCTGTGTTTGGGCTCCGTAGTTTTCATGAAGTCTATGTGCATTTATGATTCACCTACATGTTCTAATTTATTTTAAATCAGTTTGTGTATGAATGATTGAAAAATGAAAAAGGTTTTTGTAATTAATCTAAAGTAAGTGCATATTAGAATGGAGCAAGCATAGTGTTTGAGAAAAGTCCTCTAAGAAATAATGGAGTTTAAAGTTTATTGAAACCATAATCTTGAAGTGAAGCAACTTCTAAGAACCAATGTGTTCCTTCTCTGTATTTTAGAACAGGTTATGTATTCTGTTAGCAAGAGACTAAGTATATCAAGGCAAGAAGTTTTCTAGTGGCATTCGAGATTGTTTACATATCAGGAGATGTATACTTGGATTGCTAAGTCTGGGAGAGAGCTGTGTTCATTGTCAGTAGAGGATGCTATTATAAGTCAAGGAGTATCCCCTACTTGATAGTTCCAGTTTATTTCTCGAAAATTCACAAAACAGTGATGGCAGTTCTCTAAAGGTAATTCGTTTGGTTCTGAGTTGCTTTAAGTTTTGATTTTTAACGTGCAAGGTAGTTATTATGTTTTTTGTCCCCTGATGTTTGCTAGGTATGTTTATGAAGCTTCAGCAGAGGCAAGACTGACGGTATAAATGAGTAATTGATAACTTGTTTCCATCATTGATCTTTTTTACTCATCATTTATGACTTTGTGCTGCTGCTTATTGGGAGAGGGTATTCTGGATGCTTGTTCAAATCCATATTTTTCAGTTTTCCATAGCTTGACATTTTAGGTGATACGGCATCTATTGGACACCAATGATTGTCATGTTTTAATAATGATTGTCATGTTTTAATGTTAACTCTTATCATTATGTTATATAGATATATATGCACCACTTTTTAGTGTTGTTATTCTCATTCAGGCATGTATCCTTGATATGAGCTTGAAATGGTGACTTTAAAATACCTTGGATCGTTTAAATTTAAGATTTACAAGCACTTGATGGAACTTAGTTATTGCATTTTAAAGTTTCATATTTTTTTCTTGGAAATTTCAGGAAGGGTGCTTGAACTTCAGAAGCAATGATGGAGAACGGATGATATGCAGATATTATGAAACAATGGTGCCTCTCTAGATTGTTTAATTCAAGATGTACATGACTCCGTGCTTTTGTGAGAATCCTGTTGTAATGCTAAACCATTCTTTGTGTGGATTTTTTTTTAAAGGAATTCTTTGTATGGATATAGTTTAATTTCAGTGGCATCAATTTTCTTTATATTTCTAGTATTCTCGATAAGCACTGCTTTGTATACTCCGTATTATTTGGGTTTTGCCAGAGTTTTTAGTTTGAGTTTTGATTTATAATAACAACGGTAATAGCATATCATAATTTTTTTTCTAATTTAACATCTTTAGCGTCGACATTTGAACACAATTGCTTCTTTTTTATTTTTTTTCATATAATGCTTTTTTGCGTTGACAATGTGGACGCAAGTGATAAAGTTTTATTTGCGTCGACAAACAATGGACGCGAATACATTTTTTGCGTCGAGGTATTTGCGTCGACCAATTAGCGTCCACTTGTGGACGCAAATAAACTATTTGCGTCGATTTTGGATTTTTTGTGTCCACTTTTTGTCGACGCAAAAAACGCTTTTTCTTGTAGTGTAAGTAATGTCTTTTCTTTTTATTCCAAACTCGTGTTGTTACTTTTGCTCAAATCTGTAACTAAAATAATAATCAAGTGATTCATGTCTTTATTTTATGAACTTCATTTAATACTTTTATTATAATTCATATTTCAAATAAGTATATGGTTTACTATTTGTCATGAATATATATGTATATATATATATATATAAGCCTAAAATAGTGTACCGCTCAGAGGCCCAGAAATGGACAGGACCGGCCCTGTTACTATTAACCTACTTTTCTATCCCTTATAATTTGCAAAGTTGATTGAAAACTTCTCTTTGTGTCATTACTTTGACAATTTTTCCTTTTCAGTTGTCACAAAAAAATGTCACTTTTCCATTGAAATAACTATTTTGTGGTTCTGCTCATTTGTCTCTCATCTGCATAAACTTTAACCACACATTTTTTAGTATTTTTATTTCTTTGATTATACAAAGTCCATTAAGACGGAGCGAGTATTTGAAATATACCACTACCTCCGTCCCATTTTATGTGTCTCCTTTGACTTTGGCATGATTATTAATAAAGTGGTTAAAAAGGTAAAAGTTGTAATTGAGATTTGAGTATAATAAAGTGAAATGTTTTGAGCCACATATTTCTTTTCAAAAAAAGAAATGTTACACTTATTATGGGACAACATAAAAAGGAAAGTAAGAAAAATAAAATTGGACGGAATGAGTATAAAAATGAGTTATGTTAATTTTGATATGGTCAAATTAAATAGTCCTCAATCTCCGACGGAGTGCTCCGTATTATATTCAAACTCCTCCAAACTAAAAGGCGTCAGGAGTGACGTTTTAGGGGACGAAGACATTGACGTAATAATGGGATAAACAGGGAACCCCAATCATGTGGAGAATAGTGCTGAGCCTACTGCTATGTATTAATGATATCTTCTAGCCAGTCACTGCGGTTACAAAAATAAAATGAAGGTTTTATCTGTCGATCAAGGTTTTATCTCCAAGTACATTGTCCCATTTGTCCACCTAGATCATTTTACTTGGATTAAAATTTACCGATATAGTCTCGTTTGGATGGTCTAGTCAGGTCTAATTTGAATTGATTTGGTTTGGTTTGGTAACGTTTAATCTCTGTGTATTTTATAAATACGTAGTATGACAATTCAGTTTAATCTGATCTATTTAAACCTGATCTGGTCCAAAACTGAAAAACATATCAAGTAAAAACATTTTACTTGTGTTATATATATATATATATATATATATATATATATATATATATATACACACACACACACACACACAACTATTCAGGTCCGGCCAGGCCGGACCACTCCCCCCGTCTGGCCTCCTCCATTTGGGGGTCTTCTCGGTGGTATTTTTTGTTCAAATTTTTTGTGTAGGTTCCTCATCAAGTCTAGTTCATCCATAAATTTCAGCCAAAAATTCAATCGGGAAGGTCGTCAAATGATTTTTGCAAGTTAACTGGTCCGGAATATGTATTTTCCGGACCAGTTAACTTGCAAAAATCATTTGACAACCTTCCCGATTGAATTTTTGGCTGAAATTTGGTATGGATGAACTAGACTTGATGAGGAACCTACACAAAACATTTGAGCAAAAAATAACACCGGGAAGG